TTCAAAATAGATTCTTGGAATCATAATCCTTTACATCCAAGTATACTGTGTGTTTATTTAGCAATTTCCAGTTGATTTTAGTCTGTGCTAGGCCTGTGCTAGATGGCTTGGACTAATTTCAGTAAGGTGACTTGCTCAATAAAGGAAATAACGGTTCTCATCCAGTTGAAAAGACACAATTTGCCTACATAAGGCACTTTGCAGTAGCCCTCAAAAGCCTCTACATATGCACCGAACATGTGAAGAAATACCTTCTAGTTCTTTCATAGTTGCCTGAAAACTTGTTTTCCAGTAGCTTTTGGTGTCCAATAATCTACACAAAATAATTGCTGAAGGAGGCTTCCAAAAATAGGCAAAATAGTTTTGATATACTTCCATCTTAGAAGCTTAGAACTTCATGTAGCAGCTTCCATGGGCTGCTTTTCAATATCCTTCATCAAAGAGGAACATTCTTTTTACTTACTACCTGAGTTATTAGTAAAAAGTAGTCCCCACAAGTGTAAAATATCAGATCCCAACTGTCAGGTGCTCCAAGACATCATAAAATTAGTTAATGCTACCCACTGATTCGGACTAGCATAGATAAGGAACTAACATTTTATTGTAATTGAAGAACAGCAGCCATTATAGACAATTTGGAAGTCTCTGAATAGGCTGAGACTGATGCAGAATTTATACTCCTTCCTACTTCAACTTCAGTTAAGGTTAGATTAATCTTCACATTGCAGATTAATGTAACAGTTCTGTTTGCTTTTTTTCTAGAGAAAAATATTTTGGGATCTAAGATATTTGAAGAGGAGAATTAAGGGGAAAGGGATTTAATTGTTCAACCACCTCCTGTTTTACTACTTATTTTCCCTCAGCGGTACAATTCCAGACAAAAGATGGAACATTCAAATGGGGAAAAAATGAACATAGAACTAGAAATAAAAAAATGTGGGAAGGTTTAAGCATCCTTCCCTGCAAATTATTTTTTTCCAAGAAGAAAATGCTGGTGAAATTTTATTATATGAGTTTATTTGTAACTTGTGATCTTGCTTTATGAAAGAAGAGTAGAGTTTTAACTAGATATATCTAAGTGAAGGCAGTTTTATAAGGAGATCATTGGAGAGAAAGAATTAAAATTAAATTAATATTTTATCTTTTGCAATTGGTCATTTCCATTTTGAAGCTGAAAATGAAGGATCATCTTTTGGGTGCTGAATATTCAACACTCTGTTGGAGCTCATTATAAAGCTTCATAAATGTGTACTGAAGTTTATTAGTAGAAATTTTCCATGGAAAGTTGCAAGCCCAAATCTTTTTGTTGCCTTGTTTATATAAGCAGAATGATAGATATAATTGTGCTTTTTTCTGCTCCAGTAACTACCAGGAATATATTTACTTTCTTAAAATACCTGTCTCCTATAATTTATTGAATTATTGCTCTCCTTGCTCTGATAAGCTTTAATTCATTCCAGGCAGATTGTATGTGAAGTCCTCATAATGAATTAATTATTATATTGAAAAAAGTTAAAGCCATTGACAATCTGGGAAAGTTTCAGAATACATATATACTGATTAAATATCTTGAAGATAAGCTTGAACAGTTTATAGATTATTCACCAAAAGAAAAGAAAATTAAAGATCACTTGGGAGTAAACTGCATTGAAGTCAGAATAAATTTCTTCTTAGTAACAAATTCATAAAGACTTGAGTTTGGAACACAGGTTCATGCAGCAGCAGTCATGTAATTTTAACCATATTTTAATATTTAAGCTGATATTTTCATTCTATTATATTAGCCACATGGTGTCTTGGAAACTGAGAGAGTATAAAATTTAATAAATAAATAATCAAGCAATATGCAGAGGCTCATCTTATGTTGCATAGGAGAAAAACAATTTTCCGATACAACAAGCAGTTATTTATTTTACCGTAATATAGTCATAGAAATAATGAAAATTACATGAAAAAAGAAATGTGAAATTGAAACATACTGAAAATGTTGGTATAAGAGGAAGTTACATGGGGACATAGAGAAATCCTATACATAATGGAAGGAGGAAGCTTTAGAGTTCACAAGGTTAATACTGTATGGAACAAAACTGTGACTGAATCTGGATGTTCTGCTTCGGATACCACAGAGTCTCCTCCCAGAAGGTAACAAGGAAAACAGGTCGTGAAGAGGATGTATAGTTGTTGTCCCAGACAACCTTCCAGACCCAGCTCAAGCAATGCTTATATGCTATGTCCTGGATGGAAGGGAGGGAACTGCCAACATTTCTTTCAACCACTCTGACCACTCTCTGCACTGCCTTCCTGTCTGAAGCAGTGATGTCTACATCAGACTGTGATGCTGTATGACAGGATGCTCTCGATCTTCCCTCTATAGAAAATGGTAAGGACAGAGGAAGGAAGATATGCTTTTCTCATGCGATGCAGAAAATGCAGGCACTGCTGTGCCTGCTTCACCAATGTATCCGCTGTTGAGCGACCAAACCAACCTACTTGTTAACTGCACACCCAGGAATTTGATGCTGGTAACCATCTCCACAAGTGAATCATTGATGCACAGAGAAGTGTGGATGTGCCTGCCTTTTCTGAAATTGACAATGATCTCTTTGGTTTTTCCAGTATTTAAAACTAGGCTATTTTCCTTACACCAGTTCACCAAGAATATAAGATCATTGTTGTATAAGTAGCTACTAGATATTATATCCAAAAAATGTTCTAACACAGCAGGTTCTTACAGCAGAAATTAAATTGAGAACCAATTATTATTAAATTATTGCATCACCACATGCAATTCAGGAGGTAAAAAGTCTCTAAATGGCAATAAAACAATCACATCCATTGATCACAAAACCCAATTTGATAGGCATCATAATTAGGATTAAATTTCTTGTGAAACACTGAAAAAGGGAGAAAGAAATCTCCCTTGTACCATTTATGGGACAAAGATTTTATTCAACAAATACTTCTGAAGGTGTTAACACTTTGTTTGAAGAAGTTAAACTGATCATTTATTCATGGGGCAGGCATAGAAATAGTTTTTATGCAGATTTAAAAAGTCTTCCAGCCACTTCATAAATATTTTCCATGTTATAATGTTTATTTATTTATAGAATCTATAATAATAACCTTACAGTTTTTTTAGATTCTCTTAGCATGACATTTATTTATTTATTTATTTATTTATTTATTTAATAACATTTATTGGCTTTCCATCTTATCCCCAGGTAAGTGAGGTACTTACCACACTTTTACTTGGGGACTTGGATAATATTTATACCATTAAGCTCAATTCCGTTCTTAAAATATATTACCACCATTTCTATACAAATATACAAAATGTTCCTTTCAGCATTTTCTCATTTCAGTTTCATCCCAAATAATCTTATCACTTTTATTTTTAACTTTATTCACCTGTTCACCCTTGTATCCTGTAGTAATTCTCTTAGTTTTGCTGTTGTTCCAATTGTCCAATCAATACTGTGATGTTTTTAGATTTATCTTCATTCCTCTTCTGTGTGTAAGAATGAAAAGACATACATTAAATATGAATTTAAAACAAGCATAGGTTTTTTAAGGAAATAAATCACAATCCTTATTCAGTATTGAATATTGAGTTTTCTCTGTTCCCATTCATCCATTGATAGCCATCTCAGAAGAACCTTTATCTCCTCCACCCATCCCAATTACATTCATTTAAAATGTTACAGCTTTTATCAGAACTGATATTTAATTCTTCAACTATCCCATTCATTTAAGTGTAACAAGCAACCCTCACCAACTTACAAATTTTTAGTTTAATTTTAACTCATAACCATCAGCTGATAGCAATGTACATTTTCTGATATAAGTTTGGCCATTTGATTCATATTTAATTGCATACTTCATTCAACTCCATCCACATAAACCTTTATTTAGTTCTTTTACATTCTTTTCCTTCCTCTTAATTTCACAGACACACTATGTGTTTGTATTTTTTTTAATTTCATTTTTAAATTCTTCCTCTTTGCCATTTACTCTCATCAATCTGCCTTGATCAATGAAGACATACATGATTTCTAGAAATATAGAAAAGATCTGGGCTAGGTTCCAGACTTAGCTACTATATATCTGTGGTATATACAGCATTCCTTGCTAATAGTAAGAGTACTACTGTTCAGTATGTCATAAGCACAACCAAAACCCAGTTTTACACCATGCATGCTTATGTTTTCAATTCCAAAATATGATATCTAAAAACTACCTTGCAAGCCAATAATTGTTTGCATCACCAATTAAGGGATATGTGCAATATATACAAATTCAGATTCAGAATGCCTCAATTCAGGTTAAAGAAAAAAAGTCTCTGAATCAGTCATCAGTTTTCTGTGCAGTCAGACTTATCCAGTTCCATCATGACTGCCAAGTGCATGCACTGCCTGATCCAGTATGGACTAATATTTAGAATTAGGGGAAGGAGCATTTAAACAGGTACACGGTCCCTCAGTGCTCATCAATCCCTACTAGGCAGAAACTGGATCTTACTTAATTATATAATACAATCTCAAACTTTGTCATTATTTTGGTCCAGAAATGATTACTCATCTCTTTAATTTTTCAAAGCAATCTGGAAGACATTTACCATATGTGCTAAACCTAATGACAAACACAACAAAGCTTTCAGTAATAAATGGCACTTAGAGGGCAACCCTGTGGGTATATGATTGCCCTTATGTCTTGCTTGAAGCTTTTCATCAGCCTCTGATCACCCTCCTAGGAAAAAAAAAGAGATTGAAATCGATGTAGCTTGGGAGGAAACAGAAGAGAATAGTTGAACTCCAAGTGAAAAGCTTGTATTTTCTTTCTTATTCCACAGGTCATTTACCTTTCTGAGTCTCTAGGCTCAATTACATGTTCAGGAAGGCTGCCTGGAAAGGCTCCAGGTAGAGAGGTGCACCTCTTCCGGATTTTCACAGACTGCTGTTTAGACCCCCGCCTCTCCAGCGAGGGAGCGGGAGTGCGGCTGTTGGTGGTGCTGAAGGGACAGCTCCCTGTGGTGCTCCTCAAGTGAACGCACATCAGGGCGCTGAAGGGGAGGACAGCTCCCCTGTTAAGACAAAGCAGGAACCTGTGGGGGCTGCAGAGAGAGGACCCCCACTGAGCCCTGTGCATTAGAGAGCTGGTAGCAGCGGCGATGCTTCTAATGGGAGCATTCTGAGTCCTTCTGCTCTTCACATTGCTGCTGCCGACAAAAAAGCAGCCGCTGGCCTGGGGCGCCACGACATATAAGGAGGACGGTGCTGAATGGACAGCACCTACTGCTTGGCTTTAGGCATCAAGGTAAGTCTGTGTAAATGTTTGTGTGTGTTTGTGTGTTTGTGTTTGTGTGTGTGTATATATATCTGTACATTAGGGTGGGGGAATCCACAAAGACTACTAGCAAGGGGATTCCAAGGTTATTTAATAATCCTGGCAGACAGGTAACTAGACATATCTGAGTTTAGAAGTGGAGAAGGAAGTCACTTGGCATTAGGATCAAAGTGCTGGCCCAGAAAAGTTCTTTGCTGTTTTAAGCTACGTGAATTAAAACCATAAGAATCTTTTCTTGGAGAAATGCAGTTCCTAAGTTTGCATTTCACTAGAGACAATGAATGGATGGCATGTGTCTGTGTGTCTATGAGTATGCATATGTGTGTGTATGAAAACCAGGACTGCTGCTAGGGAACAGAATGCTTTGTGTATTGGTTTCTTTACTGCAGTCATTCTTTTTTTCTTTTTTTAAACCCTGTCTTTTAAAGATTTGTCATAGCGTGCTTTATGTATATGTCATACATAGATTTGTTTTGGAACAGAGAACGGAGCCTAGAGACACTGTGAGAAAGGTGGGGTGGGGAGGAGGTGAGAAGTAGTCATAGGAAAGCATCCATGTTTGGATGTCTGGAAATGAACGTTTGGTGACTGCACAGTCACACCAGCCACACAGAAAAAAGAAAGCAAGAGCTTGGGCTGTATGGCAGAGTTCCTTCCCAGTGCACTGCTGGAGGCTGGGCAGCACTTCAGCAGCTGTTTTGCAGCATTTCCTAATTATGTGTATGTCCAGACAGCAGCTGAGAAGATTTGTGGCTTTCCATGCTAAATTAGAGCATTGTTTGTGATCTCTATTGCAGCAAATTAGAATAGTCCCCATTTCCCCACTATTATTCAATAATATTGCACAATCATTAGTAATAGTAAGAAGGGCATCCTACACAGAAGAGGGACTCTGGAACTGCAGACTTTGAAATGAATCCCCCATGTCTCTACTTAAAGTAAACTCACTAGTCAATGGAATACACTTCCAGGCAACTATGGAGAGAACTTGAGTCAGGAAGTCTAGGGCAGGGCTTTTCAACCTTTTCACCGATTGTACCACTTTTAGGATATGGCAATATTTGAGTACCACCTAGCAAGGTGTCAAAAATTTGACCCCAACCCCCCCCAACCTGTTCAAAGTTGCAATTGCACTGAAATGACTTATGACCATTTTTCACACTTATGACCATTGCAGCATGCCCAGGTTATGTGATTTAAATTTGGATGCTTGGCAACTGATTCATGTTTATAATGGTCACAGTGTCCCAGGGTCATGTGATCCCCTTTGGCAACCTTTTGACAAGCAAAATCAATGGTAGGGTTGCTGGTGGCCAAGTGTTAAGGTGGGACTTCCCTCCCTCCCTCTCTGTTTCTCATGCCCACCTTCTTCTGAAGGAAGAATTTGACCCCCCCTCCCATATTTTCTCTCTTCCATATATTCATCAAACAAAGAAAAGCTTCCAGAGACAGAAAAGACAAACTGCTGAGTGAACTAGCTTAAAAAGGCACATTCCCCTTTAAGAATTAGCTACTGGCTAGAAAAGAAAGTTAAGGAGCGCAGCCGGCACTTAAGGAAGAAAAAAAATGTAGTATTGGCTGCCAGCTAAGGCAGCCTCCCCAAATGACTCCATTCATAAGTAAAGGAATGCTACAGGCAAAATCCATTCAGGAGAAAAATACTTCAAAATCCCTTGCAGCAAAATCTGCAGCTAACAATAGCAGAGCAATAGAAGCTAACGGGAGACATCAGCCATCAGCCAAATAGAAATTGCCAAACCCTCCTTAAGAACACAAAGCCCACATTGCACAAATCCCAGAACTTCAAAGTCACAAAAGCACATAAGAATCCTTCCACTCTCCATCTCCCTCCCTCCTCTGTGCCTCACCTCCAGGCATTGCTGTCTTTTTTCATTCTGCTTGGAGGGCGACCCCTCCCCCACTGCATTTCTTGCCTGTGTGCTTCTGCCAGCACAGGTGGCTGCCACGCCAGTTGTAGGTCGGCTCATGGCCGGTCTGCTTGCTCTCTCCTCTCTCCCACCCTCCTCCTTCTTCTTTCCCTTCGGTGCAGCAAAACCTGACTTCCCCCTCCTCCCAAGGCTGCTGCTTTCTCTCTCTCTCACTCTCCTGCCCAAACTGCCTCCTTTTATAGCCTCTCCTGTCTCTGGCCCCCTCCTCCTCCTTTCTTATGGGGGAGTGTGAGCCAGAAGTGAGCCTGGGGTCTTTGCCTCGCCCCAGCCACTCTGCAGCTCCAGAGGGCTCTCTCACAGTAAGTCCTTGCCTGCACTGGCTCTTTCCCTCCCCCACTATGATTGGCTAGGCAGGGCTGTGTACCACCTGCCACTTATTACCGTACCACAAGTTGTACGCATACCACTGGTTAAAAAGCCCTGATCTAGAGGCTGCCAAGAAAATAGGCAGGGACAGAAGAAGAGCCAGTGTTATCTGTCAAACTCCGTAATCATATCTGAGGTTCCAGTGGCATCTCTAAAGTACAGCAGAGAGATCCTCTTCTCTTGGAAAGAATCTCTTTGCACCCTGACTGAGCAGGAAATGAAGAGGACAAGGAAAGGGGATTGCCTCCCAATAGAGGGGAAGGAAAATAAAGGGCTTGGGAGGGGGCTGTCTTCCCAACAGTGAATTGGCAAAGAAGGTATGGAACCTGATATGGCAGGGAAAGAGCAAGTGGAGGGATGAGGTTGCTGGTGGTAATGCATGTTCTCTTCTTGCTCTCCTCTGCAGGAATGTAATCCACAATGCTAATGCTCAGGTTTCTCAATGTGGTCGCTCCAGTCTACTTCCTCTGTATCTCCTTAGTGACCTTCGTCCTCCAGCTCTTCCTCTTCATTCCAAGCATGTTCAAAGACCCTTCCGCCACCCCACTTTTCTCCTCTGCTCTGCTGCATGGGGCTCTCTTTCTGTACCTCTCAGCTAATGCTTTGGGCAACTACATCCTGGTAATACAGAACTCCCCTGAGGAGGACCTGGGGAAGGGCCCAGATTTGGCTAGAGGAGCCAAAGGGGTGACTGAGTGGCCAAATGGAAACAGGTCCCCTGCTTCAGCCCTGCCTGGCACTCACTTCTGTAGACTGTGTGCCCGAACCACCCAGAGGCATGACCACCACTGTTTCTTCACAGGGACCTGCATTGGGAATACTAATATGCGGAACTTCATCATGTTCTGTCTATATACCTCCTTGGCTTGCCTTGATTCCCTGGTGGCTGGGGTGGCTTATATTTCTGCTGCACTCTCAACTTCCTTTGCCAGCCCACTGGCTTTCCTAACTCTTCTGCCTCACTCCATTAGCCAGTTCTTCTCAGGTAAGTATCATCACTTCTTTTTCTCCTCTTGCAACAATTCCTTGGAATTGACATAGTTTCTTTGTTTTTTAAAATGTAGGATTTAAAAACAGGGGGGGGCACATCTGCAATATTCACATTGGGATGATAAGGGAATAGGATAATGTTGGGTTTTTTCCTCTCACCAATCTCTCTTGTGGTGATAACAGAGTCATATAATCAAGCTGAATGGCAGGAGATGCAGGATGGAGAAAAGAAAACATAATTCAGACATTCATTATGGTTGCAGTCAGAAATTATAGCAATGGTCAGCACTTTGGATGGCTAAAAAGGGAAGGACACATTCATGAAGAATAAGAATATTAGTAGCTTCTCCTGAGGGCTGATACAGCTGATTGCTTTTTGCTACCTTCAGTTTCAGAGGCGTAAACTCCTGATACCAGTTGGTGGGGAATATGAGTAGGAGGTGATATTGTACTCATGTTCTGCTGTGACATTCCCGTAGACACTGGTTGTCCTGTATGGCAAGAGAATGCTGGATGGGATGAAGTTGGCCTGATCCCTCAGAGATCTTATGCTTTTGACAATATTATCTTGTAACAAAGTTTAGCCAGCATTAAAAATTCCTAGATTTCATGAAATTCCTTGAAGTGAATGCATGCGTATTCGTTCAATTGTTCATGTGGAAGTTTTGAAAGGTGCTGGAACATAACCACACAGCATTCAGAAGTTGACAAGAGTCTTAACAATATAATAGCTTTCAAGAAGAACTTGTTTCTCAGAGTGTGATTGAGAGAATTATCCTACAAGTAAGCAACATGCAGCTGCCACTTCATGGCAACATGTTTTTATTTTATTATTACATTTTTATTGCAAAGGCATTTTTTAACTTTCAGATACCAAAACAAGTTGGAGAATATATACTTGAGGAGTTCTGAAGACTAATTGTATTGTATTACCTCAAACAGCAAAAAATCTAGCAATATCCTGTTCATACATACCCATTACACATGATCAGAATTAAATGTATAAAAAATTAAGAATAAAAAGCATAAACCTGCTTGAGCCTTTTCAAACCCATTAACTAAAGAATAAAATTTTGGGAACTTGGTAAGACTTATTTCTGAGGAGGTACATATACAGTAGAATGATATTATTTAGTTCCTCTTCTCGATAAATTTGTTAGGATTAAATCTTTTTGAAAATGAGACTTATGAATAAACATGCACAGATTGATGTGCATAGCACGTATATATATATATCAATTGCAGTGTTCAGTTATTTTAACATGAAAGAAATTTTGATCTTGAACGTTATGGCCAATACTAGATTTTGTTCCAAAATTCCTCCAATCACTGGTCTTAGTAGAAAATCCCAAGAATCAAAGCATAGAAAATAATGAAGAATAAGAGATACTTTGCACAACACATTATGGTTCAGTTCTGAAAATAACTGCAGAAAAAAGATTTTTTCTTTTGATGGACTTGTCTATATAATCTTTCTATATTTTATTGAAAAAAGCTTACAGAGGGATGGCAAAAGGAAAGTCTTATAAAGAATGGCAGGCACATGATTATACATGTTATCCATTGACTGATTGATCTAGGCCAGGGGTGTCAAACTCGCAACATCACGTGATGTGTCGCGACGTATCACAACTTTTTTGCCATTGCCGGCAATGGGGTGGGCGTGATTTTGCTATGATCCATCCGGCCCATGGGCCGGCAGTTTGACAACCCTGACCTAGACTATGTTCATGAGGGTTCTTTATTGTTTTATTATGAGTAAATGCTCCCAATGTGGTTATTAGATACCATGATACATTTGAATCATACAATCATAGACTGGAAGGGACCTCAGAGGTCTTCTAGTCTAATCCCCTCTTCAAGGCAGGAACCTTATACTATTTCAGGTATCATTGATAAGCATGCAATTCGGTAAACTCAAGCCTGCCTTATGGTTAATTCCTCAAAGAAGATCAGAAAGCTTTTTTTAAAAAAGTAGGATCAGTTTCTTAAATTAACATTTTGCCAAGTTTTTCCAACTGCTTTCCCTCTACTCACTGTTACACGGTGGAGGAAAAAAGAAACAAAAGAGATGCTATGATATGATCCATTATATTTTTAAGGCAAAGTGATCATACATTTGCTTAAAAATTACGCAAGTTATATATTCACGCAAATCTAGAAATTATGACTATTATGTAAATACATCTTATCATAAGGGCCAGATGACTTGCGTGCATGTTCAATCTACAGCCAGGGTTCAATGTTAATGGACAACTGCAAGACCTCTGGTTCTCTCTTCAGGAGTTTATAAACTGGAGCTGGTCTGGACATCTTTTCAAATACTTTTATTTCAGATAGGAATATCTTCTACAAAAATAGGGCGTGTGGCCCCTCTAGGATCTTTCTTACCGTAATGTCTGATACAGCGCTTGCAATTCTTCATTCTTCATCAGACCTCTCTTGATGGTAGAACAGTATAGCACTATCATTGTCTCTGCTTGCATGAGTCATATTATGGGCTTCAGCATGCTTTCTGACACTTGCAAGATTATAGGATCTGCTTTAATTAAAATAATGATGTAGCTTCCCCGAGGATCTAATGACAGGAAGAGCCTGACAGGGAAAGAGAACCAAATTATGCTGTCACTAGAAAGTTTTTTCTTTCTTTAACAGCACCTTCTCTCAGATATTTGAGACATGAATTATTCTGATGCAGAAATATATGTAATTGTGTCATCATTTATTACAGTATTTGTATAGCATCAGCTCCATTTGGGCTCTTGGCTGTTTATATACTTATAAAAATCTGAAAAGCTTGTAATTTTATCTTCAGTTGTAATAAAATACAATTGCCCTAATTCTTCAGTGTAAGTGACATCCCAGAATGAATGTTGTTTGAAACAATTATGTTTTGAGTACCATACCTTTCAAAAGGCACAGAAGGTGTCATTCACATAGAGATTGAGCACATACAGAAAAATATTTCTAGTTCTTCTTCCTGGTATTTAATAGCTCTAGAAGGGAAGTAAGCATTAGATGGTTGGCACTGCATTTCTCATGCAATCCTGAAGATACTAAGGTACCAATCATATAGTTCTTTATAAGAGAAAAACAACATTTTGATTTACCCTTAGAAGTCTACTGGCAACAATATCAGCCACAACACTGTTTTCGTATCATTCTAGTGACTCTCAGGACCAGAGAATACATTGTTGCATTCTTTAGCAACTGCTGATTCTAGATAGTCTTCAAGATACATTGTTGTAATCTAACCAAGAGTTGATAAGGATATGAGTAATTGCTACCTATGCCTCCTGCTTTAGGTTGAGCTACAATTGATGCATCACCCAAAGGTGAGCAGACCATCCCAGCTATGCCCTCCAGTTGCCGATTTAGCAGTAGCTAGGAGTTTGGCCACCTAATGAGAAGGAAGGACTCACTGGAGAAGGGCCTAATGCTGGGAAAGATTGAGGGCAATAGAAGAAGGGGATGACAGAGAATGAGATGGCTGGATGGAGTCACTGAAGCAGTAGGTGTGAATTTGAATGGACTCCAGAAGATGGTAGAGGACAGAAAGACCTGGAGGAACATTGTCCATGGGGTCGCGATGGGTCGGACACGACTTCGCAATTAATAACAACAACAGGAGTTTAGAAAGACCCACAAATCATGAACCTGCTCCTTAAGGGGTGATAATCCAACCAGGTTAAAACAGAATCAAAGGAGAATTATATGGTTTCTGGGCAAACAGTACTTCTGTCTTGTTGTTGTAGAATCATTATTATGTTAATAATAATGCATCAACATAATAATATGTTAATAATAATGTTAATAATAAAATATTAATATTAACCTGGTCATCCATCTTATTAATTGAGATTCCACTCCACTATCCAGTCTGGCATGTGTCTTCATGGCACTCACCTTCAGCCACAATTCTGTATAAATTGCTGTCTTGTCAGTACACATTAGGGACTTTTCACAAGTCATAGCTCCAAGCTTGATGTGATGGGAAAAATGTCTTGAAAATGCTTGAATCTGTAAAAAGAGCCCACAGTTTTCAAGATTTTCTCCCTATAGAGACAAATCCCAGGTACAGTAATACAGATCCTTTTCATAGTAGGAATAGCAACATCTTGAGAAGCTACACTCTACCAACTAGGTCCAATGAAAGAAATAATACTCCTTTCTTATGTTTATGCAGTTATTGTATAATAACATATAATAATATGTTTATGCATTTATTGTATAATAATGAAACAATAAGTTAAAATTAGAAAAATTTCAGCAGCTTTTTCCAACTGAATGCCTACACCCCTTTCATCAGTGGTGGCGAACCTATGGCACGGGTGCCAGTGGCGGCATTCAGACCCCTCTCTGTGAGCACGCACACCATCGCCCCAGTCCTAGGCCTTCAGCTAGGTTTTATAAAACCTTTTTGCTTTAGGCTTCTGCCATGTGCAAAAAAAAAAAAAAGGTTGAATCAATCAGTCAATTTCAACTTCTCGCGGGGAAAAAAAGCTCTTGCAAAGTTGGAATTGATTGATTGAACTTTTTATTCCCATTCAGTCTGCCATTACCACCGCAGCCACGCCCACCCAATGGGCCACACCCACCCAATTGGCCACACCCACCCAGCACCCGACGATGCATAAGTGGGTTTTGGGTTGCAGTTTGGGCACTCGGTCTCTTAAAGGTTCACCATCACTGCTTTATGTGCTAAAGTACAATTTCCATGTTTGCAGATTGCAGTAGTAGGAGTTGAAGTCCAGTTCAACTGAAGGGCATAAAATTGAGGAAAGCTGAATTAGACATTGGGTAGCCAAGAATGGATTTCAAAGCTAGAAATGAATACAAAGACATCATCATCATGAGTTGGCATTTCTAACACCATTGTTAGCAACAGTTTTGCTATGACCATCATGAAATCACCCCATATCCATCTGGAAGAAAATTATATTCAAGTATAAAAGTGTAGGGAAGCTATGCAGACTGTGTCATACCCAGCTTTTA